GAATACCACCCATCGTCAAGCAATGTTGATTGTTGCTACGCAGGAGGGCGTGGCTTCATTATTCAGCGGGTAGTAGTGTTTTTTATCAAATGTTTCTCGACGAATCAGATTCAAGTAATTTACATGAAAGTATAATATTATATTTTATGATGAATAGTTCCTAAGTATTCCATAATTTGAGATACAAAATTGTAGAAGAACTACTTCTTTGAAGGGGCTGGGTGTTGTGGCTATTTTAAGACTATTTTGACCTCCTTTCGAAGAAGAGCTCCATATAAATATCCACAAAAATAATCAAATTTTAAATCTAAATGTAGGAAATTTTTCTTTGCCCAATGATAATTGACAGCTTTAGATATCATATTCAAAATGAATAAGTTATAACTGGTGGTTAATTTGTTGACCCCACAGCCTCCTTAACTGCTCTTGACCTTCCAAGTTAGTAAAGGAATGAAATATATGGAGATAACGAACAGTATGCAAGATCAAAAGTTTAGTAAACGATATAAAATGGGAGCAGAACAAACTCGGACATCCGAAATATCTCGGACATCTGAAATATCATAGTGGGATCAGGTACCATGGAGGAGTGAGCATTCTCTGCCGACCGGTCGCACCCTCCTTGTGCCCCTTGTCATAATCCGAAAATAACGGCAAAATCCGTCGTAAAAGTGTGTAACTAAGCCCATTTTGACATTTTTTTCATACGCTATCGCAAGTCACGTTGTTTTTTTTTTCTTTTTTTTTTTAAAAAAAGACTTGGTTAGAATATATCGTTTTACAAGCAGAACTGTATTCAATCAAAAGAATCTAAAATTTACGAAAATTTGCCTAATTGTTAAAGTTTAATTTTCAGATGCAGTCGTTTTTCTTTATAATATAGTTTTTGAAAATAGCTTATTTTTCACAAAATATCTACAGAAACCTTTTGAGCCAGCCTTCATTATTGTCATATGTTGCTAGTCAGAGTTTTTTAAATAGTAAATATTAATGAACTTTTCATTTATTTTTTGTTATGTGTTATGTCAAAATTGTTTAAATTTTGGAGAAAAATTAGCGTCTAGCATTTATTAACCACGTATTTTTGTTGAGTTTAAATAACAAAAACTTAAAATATATTTGAATCATTTCACTTTTAAATTTTCATATATCACACTGAATTACTAGTAACATAAAAGAAATCGATAATACGAAAGCAATATGAGTTCAGTGTTTAAGTTAGTAATGGATGTGTTATTGTATTGAAATGTTGAAGCCATTAAATTTGGCGACTATTATTTTCTTTGAATTTACTTTCTTTTTATGTATAGTCATCATCAATTGATTGTGTAATGACTGATTATGTACTTGTAAAGTATGAAATCGATGCCTTATAAGCGATTGTTATTTCTAATAAAGTAAGAATTTCATAATGATTCATTAATATTTAAGTTCATTGAATACATATTCACAAGAGAAAATTGCTTATCCAAACAGATGATGTTCAACATGTAATGGGTGTATCGACATTAATGCAAACAACCATATGAAGATAGATACATCCCAATTATAATCATATAACATGTAAACACATACATCACATGCATTACAATAGTCAAATTTCAGATACAACGGGCTTCAAACTAATCTACTTAGCGACCCAATAATCAAATATAAGTGTCATTCTGACTCTTACAGACTAAAAGTCTTTGATCAGAGCCCCCAGATTGTATCCAAGCAGCTGATATTTCTAGACATATTGTCAAAACCTTCCACTGATATTTTAAATTAAATTAAGGATATATTTATTCATGTTTAGATCTTTCCGAAAGCTTAAGATTGGACCAAAATTGTAAAATGTATAAAACATGTGTCATTTTTCATGTTATATATTTGATATGCAGTAGTTTTGCAAGAAAGACGGTTGTGGATAAGTTGTACGATGATTTACTCTCTGAGTATAACGCACATCTGCCACCACTAACTGCACCAAATCAGCCTGTCATAGTGAACACTTCGTTCTTTCTAATTGGGATCGAAGATTTCGATGAAGTGACCGGGAAATTCTCCTTGGTAGGATTCATACATTTTATATGGGAAGACTTTCGATTAAAATGGAATCCCAAGTTATATAATAATGCAACATCTTTAGAAATTCCTGAGACTAATGTATGGAAACCAAATCCGACTCTTATAAATCCATACCAGAAAGTGAAAGATGTGGCTACGGGATTGGTTCCAGTGTTGTATGATGCAAATGGGTCGGCCTCCTGGAATCCCATTGACGTTATGTCAAGTAGATGTGAGGTAGATATAACATATTATCCTTTCGATACTCAAGTCTGTCAGTTGATATTTTCATGCTGGGGCTATTCTTCATCTTCCATTGAATTAAGGACTATAGACTCTGAAGCTAATTTATTTTTCTATAATAAACACGGGACTTGGGAACTTGTGAACTCGACATGGACTTCATATCCATATCTTGGACTTCTTATTCTCGATGTAACAATTAGGAGACAACCTGCGTTTGCCGTCTTAAACTTTATAATTCCGCTAGTGTTGATATCAATTATGAATGTGATGGTTTTTGCTTTGCCAATAGAGAGCGGGGAAAGAGTCTCCTACTCAATCACAGTTCTTCTTGCAATTGCTGTTTTTCTGACACTCGTGGGAAACAATTTACCAAAGGCTTCACATCCAACTTCAATTTTATCTTATTATCTTCTATCAATTTTGATAATAAGTGGAGTCGTTTGCTTCTTTGTCATGCTAAGCTTGTCGATGTTTTATTCCGATGAAAAACGACCAATTCCAAACTTAATCATTCGCATTGTGAACTGCCATTCTTGCAAAAGAAAATCCAATACACGTACGTACACTGACAAAGAGGAATCTCTCGGCGGAGGACGACAATCCAGTAGGGATGTGAACGTTACTTGGAGGATGGTATCAGAATGGTTCGACAGAGTTGCTTTCGGATTTTGTCTTTTTGCCTTGGCCTCCTCTACCATTTTATTCTTCGTTGTAGTTGTGTAATAAAAAGAAAAGCGAAAATAAATTCAAAACGTTTCAAAAATTGGACTTTTTGAAGTACCCTGTTTGTGTTTTGTGTGAAAGTCACCGTGTTAAATCTATATAATAAATGTGTTTTATGTTTCAGTATATAAAGCAGTTTTTTTTTTTATTTTCAGAATATTTATTATATAAGATATAGCAATATAAACGATAAACGATTTTTACTTTTGTACTGAATAACCGTTTATATTGTATTTTATGATGAGTAGTTCCTAAGTATTCCATAATTTGAGATACAACGTTGTAGAAGAACTACCTCTTTGTGTTTAAAGGGGCTGGGGGTTGTGGCCATTTTCAGACTATTTTGACCTCCTTTACAAGAAGAGCTCCATATAAATATACACAAAAATTATCAAGTTTTAAATTTAAATTGTAGGAAATTTTTCCTGGCCTAATATATCATATCTAAAATTAATAAGTTATAACTAGTGGTAAATTTGTTGACCTTTAAGCCTCCATCACTGCTCTTGGCCTTCCATGTTAGTAAAGGAATGAAGTATATGGGGATAAAGAACAGTATTCAAGATCAGAAGTTTAGTAAACGATACAAAATGGGAGCACAACAAACACGGACATCCGAAATATCAAAAGTGGGATCAGGTGCCATGGAGCATGGAGGAGTGAGCATTCCCTGCCGACCGGTCGCACCCTCCCTGTGCCCCTTGTTATAATCGTGAAATAACGGCAAAATCCGTCGTAAAAGTGTGTAAAAAGCCCAGTTTGACAACAATTTTTATACGCTATTGCAAGTCACGGTGCTTTTTTTGTTTGCAAAAAGACTTGGTTAGAATATATCGTTTTACAAGTAGAATTGTATTCAATCTAAAGAATCTTTTACGAAAACATGCCTAATTGTTAAAGTTTAATCTTCAGATGCAGTTGTTTTTTCTTTATAATATAGTTTTGGAAAATAGCTTATTTTTCACAAGATATCTAATGAAATCTTTTGAGCCAGCCCTCATTACTGCCATATGTTGCTAGTCAGTGTTTTTTTTTAGATAGTAAATATTAATGAACTTTTCATTTATTTCTTGTTATGTGTTACGTCAAAATTGTTTAAAGTTTGGAGGAATATTAGCATCTAACATTTATCAACCATGTATTTTCGTTAAGTTTAAATAACAAAAACTTAAAATATATTTGAATCATTTGACGTTTAAATTTTCATAGATCACACTGAATTACCAGTAACATAAAAGAAATCGATAATACGAAAGCAACATGAGTTCAGTATTTAAGTTTGTAATGGATTTGTTATTGTATTGAACATGTTGAAGCCATTAAATTTTGCGGCTTTTATTTTGTTTGAATTTATTTTCTTTTTATGTATAGTCATCATCAATTGATTGTGTAATTACTAATTATGTACCTGTAAAGTATGATATCGATGCCTTATATAAGCGATTGTTATTTCTAATTAAGTAAGAATTGAATGACTGATTCATTCATATTTAGCTTCATCGAAAACATATTCACAAGAGAAAACCGCCTATCCAAACAAATGATGTTGAACATGTAATGGGTGTATCGACATTAACGCAAACAACCATATGAAGATAAATACATCCCAATTATAATCATATAACATTTGAACACATACATCACATACATTGAGCATTACAATAGTCAAATTAGTCAAATTTCAGATACTACGGATATTAAACGAATCTACTATGCGACCCAATAATCAAATATAAGTGTCATTCTGACTCTTACAGACTAAAAGTCTTTGATCAGAGCCCCTGGATTGTATCCAAGCAGCTGATATTTCTAGACATATTGTCAAAACCTTCTACTGATATTTTAAATTAAATCAAGGATATATTTATTCATGTTCATATCTTTCCGAAATCTTAAGATTGGACCAAAATTGTAAAATGTATAAAACATGTGTCATTTTTCATGTTATCAAAGACCTATATATAATAAACAAATGCTAAGTATTTAAGTTTAATGTTTTATTCGAGTTGGCAGGTATTGTCCACAGTGGTCTACACAACAGTGGGGCAGCCGGCAAAATGGCATACCCCCAACATCAACATAAGTTGTGCCCTCCCTGACGGGAAAAGTAGCACGCTGGGTTGACCTCATTCGTGCTACGGACACATTTCAACACAAATTGTCTTTTAATTATATTATTTTGCTTTAGATTTACATTATATAAGATATAATTTTCAAAGTCAACATCACATATATCAACATCAATCATCACTTATATCAACATCAACCACAAAAAGTCAACAAAATCAACAGTTCAATGGTTAAATTGAAGGTGACGATTTCGCCAATACGACCACTGTGAAGTATAGTCTACTGTCTGTCCCCGAACTCCTTGAAATCATGGATAAATCGCCAAGTTGACACTTGTTACGCATGGTATTTGGTCAGAGATCATTCCAAAGGTCCTAGAAATGGAAAAAGCGGGCAATCCTGATCAGCACCGTCAGTCTCCTTCAACGAAATCTCTTAATACCTGAAAAGACAAAAACAAAACCACACAGCAGAAAAAGATTCTCAATAACATTTCCATAACTTTAATAAATTGGCTATACCTAACCCATGTAAAACAATGTATACGTAAATTAAACAAACAAAAGGAGAAAGAGTAATACTTAACACCTAGCTCAAGGGTTGAGGTGGGAGGGTATTTCATAATACAGAAAAATAAATCTGATACTTTCATCACCCACCTTTCACTTTCATTGATGCATAGAAAAGGGGAAATAACCCGTAAACCTAGTAACTACGTACTGACACTGCATGGATGGATAAATAAATTCCGGCTTATCTCATTTATTTAATTTTTCACAAAAAGGAGGTGAATGATGACATATAATCAAAGGATATATAGAGCTTAGATAACGACGCATATTATGAGATGAACTCAAATATGCGGTATTATCAAAGACCTATATATAATAAACAAATGCTAAGTATTTAAGTTTAATGTTTTATTCGAGTTGGCAGGTATTGTCCACAGTGGTCTACACAACAGTGGGGCAGCCGGCAAAATGGCATACCCCCAACATCAACATAAGTTGTGCCCTCCCTGACGGGAAAAGTAGCACGCTGGGTTGACCTCATTCGTGCTACGGACACATTTCAACACAAATTGTCTTTTAATTATATTATTTTGCTTTAGATTTACATTATATAAGATATAATTTTCAAAGTCAACATCACATATATCAACATCAATCATCACTTATATCAACATCAACCACAAAAAGTCAACAAAATCAACAGTTCAATGGTTAAATTGAAGGTGACGATTTCGCCACATGGGCACCGTAGGTGCCCACCGCCACCTGGTGGGGGTAGGCAACTTCAATTTAACCACCCACCATGGACTCCTAGCCTACTCAAAACCCCCAGCAACCCATCCATCGTGAACATCACTCTCTCTCATTTCCAACCCACTGTAGATTTATGCTGCATTAAAATAAATCTGGTTACCCTTCAAATTTACCGTGCCTTACCCCCCCCCCCTTTCCCTGATTTTATATCTTTCGAAGTTGTATTGCTTTGGGTCTCTATTTCTATTATTAATATCCAGCTATTTTACTCAGTCAGAAAGAAAGAACTAACTGGACTAATGTAAGAAAATAAAGTAGAAAATATGTCTTAACTAGATTTATCCCTCCTTTTTTATTTATTGGTTTATTCATTTGAATTTTATTTCTTATTCATTTTTAGGTAATTTGAAAGAAAAATTTGTAATATACTTTCCTGCAAAGATTAAAAACAAGATGAATGAGATGAGCACCTATACTCTCTACCCCCCCCCCTTAAAGATGATTAAGTTGTTCCTGTATTGTAGAATAATTTTAAGTGTTCATATTCCCACTCTGTCAAGTGCAGAACATATTTTGTGATATTTTGTAATGTATCTTGCCAGTTCTGAAGAAATGAGCTTATCTAAGTACTACTTTATTTTTTAATCCAAGCTCTTCCGAAGACCATGTAAAATTGATTAAATCTTGTATATACTATTTACCTTTGAAGCCAAGAAACACAATAGGGTACATGTACTTTGTATTTACCCCTAAGCATTTGTTTATGTAGATGGACTGCACCAGACATGTAAGGCACATATGACTAAAATCTTCATTCTAAATCCCTTTCCAGCTAATACTCTATCAAATAGGCATGATCTTACTACACCTTAAGCTTCCTACTTTGGGAATTTTGGGGAGGGACCCCTCCGGGACCCCTCCCCCTTTCCTCCTGCAAAAATATGCTGTGGAATGGGTTATTAAAATTATAAACTTCAAAATTCTTTTTAAGCTGTAAAAAATAGCTTTATGATAGAGAGCATGAAAATTAATATGCTAAATTAGTGTAAACCTATCCTTTCTATAATACCCTAAAATGCTGTCGAAGTTTATTTAATCTTAGCACTATGAAAAGTTAACTCCTACTCACTTGTGGATTTGTATTTGTATCCCCTAGCTAACCTATATTTTACTCCAGCATGCTAGAGGTTCACGACGAGATACTTTTGACTTGGCTCCGAAGTACATAAGGAGCGTAGGGACGTTAACTGGGGCTCTATATGTACATGTAGGAGTAACCTGTATTTGTACCCATTAGCTGATGCATGGATGTAATTTACATGTACATATGCAATTATGCACCGACTAATGCATCTTAATCCCATACAAGAATAATGTGTAAACAGAAAATAATTCAGCTAACTGCTCACATGAGAAGAGGGATAAACACATACCATATTAATACCTGCGAATGGCAACTTGGTTTGAACTGATAATTTCAATGAAGAAATGCCCCTAAGATATGCAAATGTGTAAGCTAACAGTATAAGCGCCTACTATAAAAAAGAAAATATTGTATGAAATGGGTCAGATTATAACTTAGCCTGTGGTATAAAATGTATCTAACACCCACCCCCACCCCCGAATTTGTATATCTATGCTGTTAGGAAATCTCGCCTTATGCGGTTCTTTCATCTTATTTATTTATTTATTTATTTTTAAATCTTATAACTCCACATGAATAAAGCCAGTTACCTAAACAATTTATCCTTTATGAGTTTAAAATCTGTGAATATAGAATTTTAACTGAAGCAAGTTTTATCTGTGTAAAAATAGCAAATCTTTTTTATCTAATAACTTAGAGACACAGCAAAAGCCAACACTGACAAAAATTTAAGCCCTATTTTAAACCTTATACTGGAAGTTTCATTATAACCCTCTTTATTTTATTTATTTGTTTATTTATTTATTATTTTGACCATTCATACAGCATATGCCATAAGGAAAATACATCTATTAGAAAGACCAGCACTGCGAACCTTATTCAAATGAGTCTGCATTGACTTTAGCACCTAAAGAACTCTGTAATTTGTCCCTCATCCCTTTCCGAAACTGAATTACTTGATTAAAACTGGTAAAAGTTCAGGGACTTGAAGTTGCATTTCCTATTTTGAGGTTCACTTTCCCTGATGAGAAAGATAACTCAAAGGAATAAATGTTAATTTCCTAATAATTTTGACAAGATTAGCCTATCAATTATTATCATTTATTTATAATAGTCTTTTATTTGTAGAATTATATTTAAATACATAAAGATTTTTCCTCTTGTATATGCCTTAAAGAACATTGTCGGGAAATAAAAGCCCTTGCTGAAATTTGTATCTCTGTGTGAATTATCGACATTTGTGGAATAGTGTATATAATAAATTGAGTAAAATAAGTTTACCTGATTTTCATGTTAACTTAAGATGGTACAAAACTTTTCATTAAATGAATTTACTAAACACAACTATATAAAATACAAGGCCTTTATGCAGTTAAGGGATGAGAAGGCATTGAATGTATGTGTCTTTATTGTGTTATCATGATATCATCAAACCTGCTCAAATAAGGTACAGGCCCTGTTAGAAAAATTCATAATTATGTTCATATACACTGAAGACGGCTTCCGAATGAACTAACAGCCTGACCTTCATTTATTTCCTTTATTTATAACTTGAAGCAACCAAATCAAAATGTCAACACAGAATATATATGTGAAACAAGCCTTTGACCCCCCTCTTACTTAATCTGAAGACTTATGTATACATATATTAACCAGCAAAATAATAGCTAGACTTGCTAGATAATAGATATCTACATGTACGTAATTAAAATAAAATTCGGGAAATCCTATCTATATCAACTAGTGAAGCATTGAGGCCCTAAATTACTATGCACATTGTTATTATTGGTTGAGTCTGAAGTTGTCCCCCTTTTCAAGCCCCCTAAGAGAAGAGATATCCGAACAGATGAGGATGCTGCTGGTCCTAATATAACTATTAATATGTAGATTTGACATACAATGTACAATTCAACTTGGGTGCATAGAACCTATGCCCCCAGCTTTTACAGCCTGAATTGTTCATTGCTTTTTTTTTTTTTTTTTTTTTTACTCAAAATCTATTTAGTCATCATTCATATTTACTTACCTTGAGTTTTGTCATAGCATGTGTACATGTACAACTGTAAATATGTATAAACAAATACACATCTTATTTCATGTTAAATTCATATACAGAAAAATACATTAATTGTAATATAACAATTAACATTCAAAAGCACCACAATTTGTTCTTTATTTTACTTCAAATTATTTTATTTCACAATTGATTACTGCCTTTGTTGCAATTCTATACCTTCCATGCCTCTCTTTGGACCATTGTTTAGGTTGAATGGCCTTGATTGAAAATTTATATCCTTTAATTAGAGTTCTGTTCCTATGCGAATCAGGGTAAATAACATTTCTAAAGACATGATACAATAGCTTTATCAAACTTTAATTTATTTTCAATCTGTATGTTTTCTATTTATTCACTGTTTTAAGGAAAAGTTTTTTATGTCACAAAATATTTTGAATAAACTGATAAATACAACAAGCCCGAAGTTTTCATAATACAGAAAAATAAATTTGATACTTTCATCACCCACCTTTCACTTTCATTGATGCATAGAAAAGGGGAAATAACCCGTAAACCTAGTAACTACGTACTGACACTGCATGGATGGATAAATAAATTCCGGCTTATCTCATTTATTTAATTTTTCACAAAAAGGAGGTGAATGATGACATATAATCAAAGGATATATAGAGCTTAGATAACGACGCATATTATGAGATGAACTCAAATATGCGGTATTATATATTTGATATGCAGTAGTTTTGCAAGAAAGACGGTTGTGGATAAGTTGTACGATGATTTACTCTCTGAGTATAACGCACATCTGCCACCACAAACTGCACCAAATCAGCCTGTCATAGTGAACACTTCGTTCTTTCTAATTGGGATCGAAGATTTCGATGAAGTGACCGGAAAATTTTCCTTGGTAGGATTCATACATTTTATATGGGAAGACTTCCGATTAAAATGGAATCCCAAGTTATATAATAATGCAACATCTTTAGAAATTCCTGAGACTAATGTATGGAAACCAAATCCGACTCTTATAAATCCCTACATGAAAGTGAAAGATGTGGCTACGGGGTTGGTTCCAGTGACGTATGATGCAAGTGGGTCGGCGTCCTGGATGCCCATTGACGTTATGTCGAGTAGATGTGAGGTAGATATAACATATTATCCTTTCGATACACAAGTCTGTGATTTGCTTTTTTCATGTTGGGGTTATTCTTCATCTTCCATTGAATTAAGGACTATAGACTCTGAAGCTAACTTATTTTTCTATAATAAGCACGGGACTTGGGAACTTGTGAACTCGACATGGACTTCATATCCATATCTTGGACTTCTTATTCTCGATGTAACAATTAGGAGACAACCTGCGTTTGCCGTCTTAAACTTTATAATTCCGCTAGTGTTGATATCAGTTATGAATGTGATGGTTTTTGCTTTGCCAATAGAGAGCGGGGAAAGAGTCTCCTACTCAATCACAGTTCTTCTTGCAATTGCTGTTTTTCTGACACTCGTGGGAAACAATTTACCAAAGGCTTCACATCCAACCTCAATTTTATCTTATTATCTTCTATCAATTTTGATAATAAGTGGAGTCGTTTGCTTCTTTGTCATGCTAAGCTTGTCGATGTTTTATTCCGATGAAAAACGACCAATTCCAAACTTAATCATTCGCATTGTGAACTGCCATTCTTGCAAAAGAAAATCCAATACACGTACGTACACTGACAAAGAGGAATCTCTCGGCGGAGGACGACAATCCAGTAGGGATGTGAACGTTACTTGGAGGATGGTATCAGAATGGTTCGACAGAGTTGCTTTCGGATTTTGTCTTTTTGCCTTGGCCTCCTCTACCATTTTATTCTTCGTTGTAGTTGTGTAATAAAAAGAAAAGCGAAAATAAATTCAAAACGTTTCAAAAACTGGACTTTTTGAAGCACCCTGTTTGTGTTTTGTGTGAAAGTCACCGTGTTTAATTTATATAATAAATGTGTTTTATGTTTCAGTAAATACAGCAGTTTTTTTTTTATTTTCAGAATATTTATTATATAAGATATAGCAATATAAACGATAAACGATTTTTATTTTTGTACTGAATAACAATTAATATCATATTTTATGATGAGTAGTTTCTACGTATTCCATAATTTGAGATACAACATTGTAGAAGAACTACCTCTTTGTGTTTAAAGGGGCTGGGGGTTGTGGCCATTTTCAGACTATTTTGACCTCCTTTAGAAGAAGAGCTCCATACAAATATACACAAACATTATCAAGTTTTAAATTTAGATTGTAGGAAATTTTTCCTGGCCTAATATATCATATCTAAAATTAATAAGTTATAACTAGTGGTAAATTTGTTGATCCTTAAGCCTCCATCACTGCTCTTGGCCTTCCAAGTTAGTAAAGGAATGAAGTATATGGGGATAAAGAACAGTATTCAAGATCAGAAGTTTAGTAAACGATACAAAATGGGAGCAGAACAAACACGGACATCCGAAATATCAGAAGTGGGATCAGGTGCCATGGAAAAGTGAGCATTCCCTGCCGACCGGTCGCACCCTCCCTGTGCCCCTTGTTATAATCGTGAAATAACAGCAAAATCCGTCGTAAAAGTGTGTAAAAAGCCCAGTTTGACAACAATTTTTATACGCTATTGCAAGTCACGGTGCTTTTGTTTTGTTTGCAAAAAGACTTGGTTAGAATATATCGTTTTACAAGTAGAATTGTATTCAATCTAAAGAATCTAAAATTTACGAAAACATGCCTAATTGTTAAAGTTTAAGTTTCAGATGCAGTTGTTCTTTCTTTATAATATAGTTTTGGAAAATAGCTTATTTTTCACAAGATATCTAATGAAATCTTTTGAGCCAGCCCTCATTATTGCCATATGTTGCTAGTCAGGGTTTTTTTTTTAGATAGTAAATATTAATGAACTTTTCATTTATTTCTTGTTATGTGTTATGTCAAAATTGTTTAAAGTTTGGAGGAATATTAGCATCTAACATTTATCAACCATGTATTTTTGTTAAGTTTAGATAACAAAAACTTAAAATATATTTGAATCATTTGACGTTTAAATTTTCATAGATCACACTGAATTACCAGTAACATAAAAGAAATCGATAATACGAAAGCAACATGAGTTCAGTATTTAAGTTTGTAATGGATGTGTTATTGTATTGAACATGTTGA